AAACCACTAGACTAGAACACATGAAAAGGACAATGAACTGGCAAGGAGTGAAAGACAGACAACCACTATATACACAGGTGAGGGAGAAAGAACAAGACCAGGGCAGGGAACTGGAAACAGGACAACACAAACATGGAGACATAGGACTAAGGACTAAGGAATAGATATAATAAAAGGAATAAAAAAGGAATAGAAACTGGACAAAAGAACCAACCACTCACAAAATATGGAACCAGATGACATGGACAAGACACACTGACAAGTTGACCAGTAAGAATAAAACAGAACTAAAATGCAGGACTAAAACTAAGATAAAGGACCAAACAGAAACTAAGTCAATTAAACATGCGAATGAACAAAAGAATAAAATAGGCTTCAAAACCCCACACATAAAAACATAGGAAACAACTGAAAAACCCAACCAACCCAAACCCTCGACAGAATCAAGACACAGTGGCTAAACAAACAGCAATAATCAAAAGAGAAAAAGAAAAAGAAAAGCAAAAGGGGAACAGTTAATATAGACCTATTGAGTGATTCAAGATGCCAAGTACAGTAGATCAGATATACAACGAACCACAAGAATCAGAGTGAGTGCTTCAATGCTTCAGCCATAGTGAGCCACATATTCACGCTCACCTCTTTGGCCCCATTTATACAGACTATTGGGTTAAAACCCATTGTCTGATGGTCAAAGTGTGAGGGGCTTCCAGCGTACTGCAATAATTTTCTTGGCAGCTGTTAAAGCTGCCAACATTACACGTTTCTGACATTCAAGGAGTTGAAGTGCCGACAGATCAGATCAATAATACTGGTATGGTCACAGGCGCTGTCTCCGATATAAGTGCTGTCAGCTCAGCGGCCACACCCCGCCAAAATCGAGCCACGGGGAGGAAAGTAAAGTATTATGCACGTTACCTTGTTTCAGCGCCCCCCACTCAAGCAGGCGCTTAAAGTCAGAAACATTAACCGTTGTGGCATACACCGCTTCAAAAAGGGAGAGCGGCTGGATACTAGGTGTGAAGATAGTCTGTCTGACCCCATGGTGACCTCTCCTGCGTCATCATCGGTCGGAAGTTGAGGAAATCCTCTTCTTCTCTAGGGTTGTTAAAAACATGATAATCCGACCCATCTTTGACTTTCAGGGTCGCCGCGTAGAGGAGAAAATATACAATTCCTCTTTCCCACGCGGTGTCCATCGCCTGGGTGAAAGCCTGTTCGGCACTTGACTGTGTGATTACTACAATAACAATACAATATAATAGGTTAGTTGATAACCAAGCAAGAGTGTAGGTTTTCGTTTAGCAATGGAGGAGCCACTTATTTAGGGGGTGGGTGGGGGTTAAAGCAAATTTTTAGCATTAAACACTTAATTGAGGTGAAAATTTCTGCATCAATTTTTGGAGGAAATGTTTTTATCTAGGCTACGTCAACGGAAACACAAAACTCACAGCAGGTGACTATTTAAAATATAAAATATACCAGAATATAATTTAGTAGGTGTATGGCTTTCAAGTATTCTGTATTTCTTTTTCTTTCATGATTTAGTCTTCCCTCTTCTGACTTTCCCAACAGAGCAAGTTTGTGCTTCAGATTTTACATTATAATTTTTACATTTGTTATATTGCAAAACTCGACCAGCTACGTTACCCAATAACAAACTGTTTGCCACTCACTGCGCGAGAGCGGGCTCACTTATTCCTGTCACAGCATCCGCCAGTGTCGCATCAGCTGGGTGGAGTGTAATCGTGTCGAGTCGATTTTATCAGTTATAGGCTACATTAGTTTTTCCAGTGCGTGAGAAAATTGATAAATGGCGTGAGAGCGTGTGAAAAGTGTCAATTGCGTGAGTCTCATGCTCAATGCGTGTCTATTCCTGTCCTCCATGTCTGCCAGTTTGAGTTCAAATGTATGCAGCGCCGTCTCGTGTTTAGTAACTGCCCTCGAGTTTTCCTTGATAGTGCTCTTCAGAGCTGAAATATCTGCTTTCACCACACCAATACTCGCAGAGAGCGAGGCCAGATCACACTGAATCGTGTTCAATTTATCCTCTGTTCCCATTTTGTGAAGTTGAGCATCCATGAAAAATTGTCTCCTGCTTTCCACATGATCACAGTCTGCGCCACCATTGCAATTCAGAGCTGTTTTGAAAAAACTTTTTATATTAAAAAAGAAAATCAGATAAAAGCAGCACAGCACCAGCCAAAAAACTGGTACTTTAAGAACTGAGAGCGTTTTTTCCGACTTCTTTATCGTAAAATACACACCCTTTTTTAACACCTATCTTGTCTACATCTCTTGCTCTTTCAAATCCCCCAATCATGCACCTCGGGGGGGGAAAGAGGGATTCCCCTATTTTATGCGGAATTTTTTCCTCCCATTAAATAGATTATATCCTATTTTGTTGAAATAGATGTTTTATCTATCAGTATTTAAAAGAAACAGATCTTTGTCTATTCATTGGAAATATCATGAGAGACAGGCTAGGTAATACAGACACTATTCTTTCGCATGTCTCTGCCTTAGTGTAAAAAACTCATAGACAAACAACCAGGCACATGCACACTTAAGGACAATTTAACATCACCAACTAACCTGGATGGTGGGAGGAAGGCGGAGCACCCAGAGAGACCATGCAAACTCCACACAGAAAGGCAGGGATGACAGGGGTTTGAACCCAGGACCTTCTTGCTGTTAGGCAACAGTGCTAACCACTGTAACACCAATAAGTGATATATTTAAATAAACACCCCATCTGTTCTCAGAACCCACGCAGGAAATGTTATTGCCCATAGGTCTATTATATAATAAGAATAATTTACTTGTAATGATGTGAAGGTTGAGCTTATTTTTAAAATGATTAAAGCTCTGAGTCTGTTTGTCTGGCTGCTGAGACAACGTGGCATTTCTCACCTAACCACAGTCTCTTTACTGACTCCAACAGTTGTTCTTTGCAACATCTGAGACACCCTCCTGAGAACGTCAGCAGATTTACATCCGTAATCACGCTTTCATGTCAAACCGACAGTTGTTAGGCAGGTGGCAGATCCTATTCACCCTAGTCTGTAAGTTAAGAGTCAAACAAGAACACAATACCCATTGCTAGCATTCAATTACTACTGCTGCCTATCAGGAACTGGAGACGCCACCACCAAATCCACCGGCTGCTCCGAGGAGATCACCAGCCCGAAAAGTGGTTCCAAAGGTGGTTGTGAAAGAAGAGGTCAGTGTGTCCAGCCATCACATTCTGAGCCTTCGTGGATACTTGCTGGGAAGGGCAGGAAGATAATTTGTGCAGTGTAATTGTGTGGATGAGATTTTTTGAAAAGTGACATTCTTTTAGCAGTTAACTGTATTAATTGATAAAGTGTGCCTGTTTGTTTAATATAAATTATGCAATTTGTCATTACAGAGGAGGCATACTGAGGATGTTGAGCAGTCCTCTGGTGCAACCGCAAGAATAGTTAAGTCGCATAGACAAGTAGTCGGCAATAGTCTTTCTGCCTTTTTATTTCACAGGTGAACGAGTGTTCCATCCCGCTGAACCCTGTCAGGTTCAGCAGTGCACTGCTGGACGCGATGAATTAGATTGTCCCATTGCGTCTTCTTAACCTGGTGTACACACCTGTCTCACCAGCCAAAAAGAGAAATTGCATGCAAATTGTATCTGTTTGAGTTTTTTTTTTTTTTTTAAAGTCTTCTTCCTAACTGTTTGTATCCTCTGAAAGAAGCTATACCCAACTATACTAACGATTTATTTTTGATTTCTCACATTAGAAACCAATTGCGGATGGCTGTTGCTTTACGCAGGAGACGTGCTAAGCAGCAGGTCTTTTATTTGATTCAATATTTCACTATTTTGAATTGTTTGTACAGTTGAGTAGACAGTGATATTTTTGGTTATGTTTGCAGTATTAGTAATTGTGAAAAAAATGATGAAAATATGATTTTATTTGTTTATGCAGCATCTCAATAGTTTCATTTATGGATTTGCCTAGGTGGAAGTGCTACTTTGCCATCACCTGCCACTGTTGTGGAAGTGGATGAAGAGGTTAGTACACTTTGTATGACAGATGTCCTAGAAATTTTAACAATTGGTTGGAATGGAGCATGCAAAGCCAAAATAGCACAGCAGTGTTGTGGTCTACAAAGCTGTAACCTGCTGCTGCTGTGAAGGTTAGTGCACTGAATGGAGCGTGCAAAGCTATTTAATTGTCTTTGGCAAGGGAGTTTAAATTAACAGGGGATTGTAGTTTTAGTGTCATTCCATGTAAGTGTAAATAAGCTCAACTAAGTGGAAACAACATGTAATAACACACATGGGAAATGCTTTGTATCAGCAAGTAAATTATGTCAAACTCTTTTCATATGATTATGATGGCTGTTCGTTGCTGGTGAAGTATAATCTTCCCTCCAGCCCTGCTCACTCACTGTGTTTGGTTTCATTGCTCTTTAGCACTCAGAGCTCCCTCTGTTGACCATAAGGTGCCTCTGCACACCAGCGTTTCAAACCCTGCCTCCAGTCTTTGCATACAATCCTCAATCCTAAATTCCAAATGCTCAAATTCCCAAATTCCCATTTCTAAATACCAAATGCATTTTTTGATTTAGACTTTTAGTTTTAATTCAGACCCAATAATCCCTCTATACTAGCGATTTGATAGTATAGAGGGATAGAGGGAGGTCTAGGAAAAAAAAACAGGCGGTGCAGTGCAGTGGAGTTAGTTATGCACAATATATTGAGAGCTACTGACAACAGGAGTCAAATTCCTTGCATCTGCAAAATACTAGACCAATAAGGTTGATTGTGATTCGCTGCTAAGCCTGAAATGTTGAGCACATAAAGGATTAAACTAGAGGCACCAAGAGACCATTCATGACTCTTCTCCCCTCACACCCGAGTTCTCAATTGTAACCCACATTTTCAAATCATTTGTCTTGTTTTCTAATTCTTCGTCTTGCTCCCCCCTCCCTCAATCAAAAGAATCGCACAACATGCATGACATAACAAACAGCATAGTTATTTATTGAATAGGGAAAATGTACATTTTCAAAACAGGAAGAAGACAGTTAAATACAACTTTATTATTTATTAAAAAAAACCATCAAACTAAACACAGTCATCAATACTTTGGTTCATATTTGTACATAAAACATATTTACATTTTTTTTGCTTTGCCCTTGTTTTGGTTTTACATAACATACTTTGTACCTTCTGTTTTTAGGACAAATCATTTTTAAAAAAGCTCACAGTGCAAAAAGGTCCAATGTGAGTTTGTAAAGTTCCTCATGAATGGTTTTAGTAAACTTCTAGTGCACACTGAGTGGGAACAATGTAGAGCAGAAGAGAGCCAAGTCTCCCAGCTTGCTTAGCTCTCAGCAAAAGTTAATGTTTCAAGTTTCACTTCCTCTTAAAACCACAAAAATCTCTGATCAAATGTTGTTTCTGTGATTCAGCTAATTTTGTTTTCAGGGATCCAGAAGCTGCAGATTATGGACTGAGCTGAAAGACCCTGCACACGCTCATTTCCACTGATTAAAACTACAGTGAAATTAACTCCGTGTGGTTTGGACATAAACCACTGAAGGACATCACTTTAGGGGGTTGTCTGGATCAGAGAGGAGGTGGATGATAAGTGTAAATTGGTATTTAAGCTAATCTCCCTCATCACAGCTGCTACCATTGCTGTTGTGTTTACACTAATTGTTGGCATTAATACAAACCCCATTTCCAGAAAAGTTGGTATATTTTCCGAAACGCAATAAAAACAAAAATTTGGGATTTTTTCATTCACATAAACCTTTATTTAACTGACAAAAGTATAAAGAAAAGATTTTCAATAGTTTTACTGACCAGTGTAATTGTATTTTGTAAATATAAACAGAGTTTTGTGCAACAGACTCAACAAAGTTGGGACAGAGTTAAAATAAGATTGAAACCTGCACAGAATATTCAAGTAACACCTGTTTAGAAGACTCCACAATAAGCAGGTTAATTTGTAACAGGTGAAGTGTCATAATTGATTATAATTTTAGCATCCACCAAAGGCTCAGTCTTTGCAAGTAAGGAGGGGTCGTTGCTCACCCCTTTGTGCCAAAATTTGTGAGAAAGAGAGACCTCCGAGTTCTCAGCAACGCAGAGGCATAATGGGATTTTAGAGACACATACATTGCCATCAACATATGTGACATACTGTCTCTTCCCAGTACATACGTGCTTATTTCAGTAGGACAATGCCAAGGCCTCATTTGTCATGGTCTACAAAAGCGTGGCTTGGTGCGTGTGCTTGACTGGCCTGCTTCCATTCCAGATTTGTCTCCTAATGTATGTATGGAGCATCATGAAGAGGAGAATCAGACAACAGCGACCACAGACTGTTGAGCAGCTGAAGTTTTGTATCAAGCAAGAATGGACAAAAATTCCAATTGCAAAACTGGCACAATTAGTATCTTAACTTCCCAAACGATCTGAAAGTGTTATTAAAAGGAAAGTTGATGTAACACAACTACCAATGGTAATACTTTTGCCAGTTAAATAAAGGTTTATGTGAATTAACAAATCCCAGATTTTTGTTTTTATTGCGTTTTGGAAAATATCCCAACTTTTCTGGAGATGTAGACAAGCGTTAAAAAGGATAAATGATGGGTTTTAATATATAAAAGAACACCTTGTATCTTTTTAAGATTAAACTTTATAAAGTTTCAAACAGCTTGGGTTGTTTAATGTACAAGAAGTATCTGTAGTATTTAAACATACATTCTTCATTTATCTTAAAATAAAGTCAAAAAGTTAATTAGAAACATGCTCATAAAATATACACGACACATCCTGATTAAACATTAAACAACAAAACTAATGAAATAATAGGGGTTGAAATCTAACAGCTTAGAAATTTCTCTTTTAATTTGGAAGTTCACAACATTTCATAACAAACTATGAAATATCTACAGGGCATCTTATTTACAGAGCAGATCAGTATTATATGCACAACTAATGCATTTAATTTAACACATTTCCGTTATTTAAGATCTATGAAGGCTGTATGATACTGTCAAAATACTGGTTTTGATGTGAATCCGAAAATATGAATAGGTTTCCAAAGGGACCTCACTGTGTTTTTGCTTCTGAGTCTGAGGGACTAAAGAAAACTAGCCACACAGAGGAGAGGGAACTGCAGTGAATTAGGGATGTGCTGCTTAGTAGAAATCTGCTCCTCTCAGCAGCATGGCGGGAAACCACACTGTGGGCTGAAATATTATTCAGACATCATGAATGGCTTAGAGAGCTTCAAATAAATTGGGGGACAAAATCAGTGTGGTACAAATGTAAAGCTATTGTGGATAGATGGGAGGATGGATGAATGTGAGACTCAGGGCATCTACTTGATTTGTTATCAAAACACCAAGCGAGGCTGGAGAGGGGACGAGTACAGACAAGACAAAGGGTTAAGGGGAAGGATTTTCAGGAAGGGTGGAGTATTAACAGATGCTGCTCTTTTTGCTCCCTCTCTAAGAGTGATATCTGCAGTGCATCAGGTAGATTTTGTGTAAGAGAAACTCTTTTTAAATAGTTTTGATCTTCTCTCATTTCAGAAGAGAGGATCCACTTATGAACCGTCTTTCCAATGAAATGCAAAACAGTTAGAACAAATCTAAAATGACTGCTTTATAAATCCTGAGTTCAGTGCACACTTTATTTTTGCTCTACCAAAATAAAAGCATGACTCTAGATTAAACCTGACTTTAATATATACTGTAAATTCTCAAATAGTTACTAGGTGTAAAATAAAACAAAATATTTAAAGAAAAATCATATGACCAGTAAATATTACACACATGGTAATCAATATAATGTGCAGCATTATTCCATTAGTACTCTAGTTTCTCTTTTTAACAGCAATATTCTTCTGTCACAGAGGAATTCACTTTGATTTATTTACTTGTTTACTTTGTTTCAAAATAAAGACTAGCCACAAAGAGTAGAGGGAACTGCAGAGAATTAGGGATGTGCCGCTCAGTAAAAGCAAAACTAATTTGACAAATAGAAGCACATCAGAAAACAAGAGGGTGTCTTACCAACACACTATGATCTGCTGTTCATCGTGTCTGAAACAAATAGACAGACAGATCCTGTCTCTTTAAGGATCCCTTCCCCAGAAGCCCACTTGTCATTACACAATTTCAATTAAATGGACATGTAAAAATTTGAAAGTATGTGAAATGTTTGAAAGAAGATAGCATACGCATGGAGCCCCCAAAAAGTCCTGATGGATGATATTCATTTTAAGTACAAGATAATAACTTGTGTGTGCGAGATAAAAAATAGAAGAAAATTTTGATTAATTGATTAGATTTCACTCTCTTATGTATGTAAAATGCATGATAAAAGCACTCTATTCCTGATCCTGTTGTGTTGACTGCCATGACCTCTGATTCTTCTACAAAGCTCATACTGAGCTGTTGTTTGTACTGGCTGGTACATTTCATGACCAACTAAAATAGAATAATGAATTATTTGAGACAAATTGGAGATGAAGATCTGACAACAGCTGTATTAAAAACATCTGATTTCAGCATGCACTTAATTCAGTAGGAAGAGACGATATGAGAGCCTTTGCTAATCCAAATTCCCACTCACATCTTGTGTCCTGTGTCCTGTCTCTGTAGATTCCTCCATCTCTCTGATGTGGCATTGATGGATTATGTCTGACAGTCTGTCGCCTTGTTTCACATACTGAACTTAGCACATGTGTGGACAGTGAGAAACAGAAGACTTGTTCATGGGTTAGTGCTACAAACACCATGTCAGGTGCTATCTGTTCCTCCATCTTATGTTACATTTTTAAGCTTGACTTTATCAGTTAAGTTGACAAGCTGTCAATGTAGGGACACACAAATCAGACACTAGGTTAAAAGTTCCTCAAGTGTTCAGCCCGGACTGTGTAACTGAGTCAACAGCTCCACAAGCATTAGAAATTGGCACTTATTATTGGGTAAAGCTAAGGTTTGCAAAGTTTAAAGCCTTAAAGCCTTATGGAGATTTGACTTGAAGCATTATGTGATGTGTGCTGACTGACAGCTGGAGGAAATCAAGAAATCTGTTCTCTGATACAGTTTGATCCTCCTTGGCTTTCCATCACATCTCTAATTGATGGAGAGGAGCTATTCTGTCGATGTGCCAAGAATATTCTTGATGATCCCAATTAAATCATCAGAACTTCGCATGGTGTCTCTGGGAGGAGGTCATTACCTTTGTTTACTTGGGCCATGTGCAGGTAAGTCAGACTGTCATCTTGGGGAACCTGGCTTCTCATCCATGATGGTCTGACAGGAAGTCAGGGACAGTGTCCAGGGGCCAGAATGTCAGCAAAGACACGTGGACATTTTAGATCCAAATAGAGAGTTAAGGGTCACTCTGGTCCTGTTTAATGCACTGGCCAGCTCTCTTGTTTCTCTGGAAGGGTAGAAGTTCACATGTGCATCGTCTGGTCCTCAGCAGAAGAATATATCGCCATCATTCTGAGGATCCGACATCACTTTGCTTTCTAAAGAGACATTAAGACACAAGTAATAATCTGGCCAAGACAGAGGCAGGTACTTTGCTTCCTATAAAACAGTAAAGTGAGCTTTACAGAGATGGAATTTTGACAGAGCCAGGTGGACTAAGAATGTTTCCCAAAATGCCAAACTAATGTTCATTTGCTGTTAATGGAAACTCACCAGTACCTCCATGTTTACCTGTTGCATTTTTGAACCAGTGACTGAGTTTCTCTTTTTGAGACGAATACTGTTTTCACTCACTAAATAATTATAATAATCTCTACTGTGCCATTTAAGCTACCATTAATGAAACTCAAAAATCTAACTCTCAACAAGTATTCTATTAAGCGTACTTCTCAAAGGTTATTTATTTTAAAGGGCCTATATGTAGTTTTCAGTGGCCACTAGCGGCATTCAGCAGACGTGATACATCGGCATTAGCGTGCCTGCTGCTTTTCAATAACGATTTCTGTATCTTTCACCCAAGGCTCAGCAATGTGAACACAGCTAAATGTATTGGATGATAACGAAACTGTTAGTGAGTAACACACAACACACAAAACTGAATATTATGAGATTGCTGCCACACTTAACAGTTTGACCGCAGTACTGTAATTACTGTAATGAGTGGGTCTTCCACTGTGTTGTTGTCCTGCACCGTTATGTTGCATTATAGTATATTATGGAGAAGCTGTGTATCGGTAAATTGATAATAAATTGAGAACTTACAAATCTAAGAAAGCAGTGGCAGTTCCGCTGCTTGAAGATGACGCTGCGAATAGCTGTCTCAGTATAGTTACGCTTTGTTTTGTTTTGTTTTTGTGAGTTAATTCAGTTTTCGGAATGAACATCAAATGAGCAACTCCAGCGAATTTATACCTGTTTGGTCTATGAAAGGACTTGATTTCAGTGGAACTTTCTGTTGCTGCAGCAGAATGTTCATTAAAAGATGTATTTTTAAAAGCAGTATTCATTTTATTGTCTTGACTGTTGTTGAGCTGAACCAGTTCTACTGCCGCTTTGAGAGTCAATCAGACACCATCCCCCATGACTCCTTTGCTCAGTTCCAGCTTCAGCCACCTCCTCCTCCTCAGAGGGGGCCAGCTCCACCCCTCCCCCCTCTCCATCTCAGAGAGGAATGTCAACAGACAATTCAGGAGGCAGAAACCCCGCAAAGCAGCTGGGCCGGACTCTGTCTCCCCATCCACCCTGAAGCACTGTGCTGATCAGCTGTCTCCGGTGTTCACAGACATTTTAACACCTCACTGGAGACATGCCATGTGCCAGACTGCTTCAAAGCCTCCTCCATCATCCCTGTCCCCAAAAAACCAAGGACCACAGGACTAAAAGACTACAGACCCGTCGCCCTGACGTCTGTGGTAATGAAGTCTTTTGATTGCCTTCTGTTGTCCCATCTTAAATCAATCACAGACCTACTCCTGGACCCCCTGCAGGTCGCCTACAGAGCCAACAGGTCTGTAGACGAGGCAGTAAACATGGCCCTTCACTTCATCCTCCAGCACCTGGACTCCCCAGGAAACTACACCAGGATCCTGTTTGTGGATTTCAGCTCTGCTTTCAACACCATTATCTCAGCCCTGCTGCAGGACAAGCTCTCTCAGCTGAACATGCCTGACTCCACCTGCAGGTGGATCACTGGCTTCCTGACGGACAGGAAACAGCACGTGAAGATTCATACTTTTAACGCTATCGCAAGTCAAGTTTCATGTCGTTTTCTGAGTTTATAATGAGTGTCTATGGGACAGAATGTTGGCAGCTAGAGTGAGAGGGTCAACTGACAGTGGGAATTCACTTCAATATCTTCTTAAACATTTTTCTTCAACTCTCTGTATCTCACACAATATTCACTCTACATACAGAATTTTTTCACAAGTTGTTGGAAATCTTGTCCTGCTGTGATGTGTAACTTTGAAAGCCAACAGACTAACACAGCTGGCACAGTCAGCTTGAAGGTGAGAGCAGTCCCAGCCAACTGCCGCATAGACTTCCATACCGTTTCAGGAAAGAGGCAGAAATCTGGACATTTGAACATTGCTGCTGTGGACACAATTTTGACAGTAGATACACAAATCTGAGACATCATCTACATGAGAATCTTATCTCTCTTACTATATGTTTACGCTGGCTATGAGAGTTACGGTCTGTTCGGTCGGAGCAGGTGAAGCAGAGCTGTGCTTCAGGTTAAAACTCAACGAGACCAGGGCTGCTTCTCAATCTGCGTTCTTGTCTGTTCTTGTGTTCTTGTGAAACGTCAGTCACAGCCAAAGTACTGTTCCAATTCAAAAGTCCGCATCTAGCCAAGTACAGTCAAATACCCAGATGTGTTCTCACTCCGCCCGTTTTACCAAGCCTGCCCAGAATGCATTTCGCCGCCAAAAAGCGGAAATGTCGGACGAGAAAACTCAGAACTGTAAGTTAGAATACTGCTGTGTATCATATAGTAGTTTTAATATGTTTTTATGCAGGAATATAGTTGTTTAAACTACAAATATGTGGTTGATTTCTCAAAACAGAGCTGATGAAAATTTCTACGACCTTTTTGGGTCCGACTATCATCAAGTCCGCTGCTGTTCCAATGGCTGAATGACTGTGCGCTCCCGTTCCGGAGAGTTTTTACTCCCGAGCCAAACTTGCCAAGTCCGAGCTTGGTATTGAGAAACAGCCCAGCTGTCTAAGCCAGAAGTCAGACAGCTTTTACCATCACCATGGCAACCTTAGAATGCAGCCTCAGCACACAGCTGATTGAGATGATGTAATGATTTAATATGTAGACAACTCAGTGAACATGGCCCTTCACTACATTCTCCAACACCTGAAAGCTCTGCTGCAAGACAAGCTCTCCTAGCTGAGCATGCCTGACTCACCCTGCCGGTGCAGGTGCAGACTTACTGTCCAACAGGTACTAGCACGTGAAGCTGGGAAAACATGTTTCTGACTCCAGAACCATGAGCACTGATTCCCCTCAAGGATGTGTTGTGGTGGCAGCCCGGCTGATGGTGAGTGTCCTGTTTATTTCTCCTTTTTTTGCTTGTGATTCTGTTTTCCCCTGGTGTTTTCCTGTACTCTGCCTGCCTCCCTGTGTCTCCTCCCCTGCGTGTGCTCTCCCTCTCTCTCTCCCTCCGCTCCTGAGCCCAGCCAACGACCCGCACCTGCACCTCGTCAGCCACCTCCTCTGCCTGCCACACCAATCAGCCTCATCTCTGACAGTACTTCTACCCTGATTCCCCAATCAACCCCTGCTTGATCGCTGTTGCTCCTTACCCGGTGCCACTTTGCCACTCAAGCTCTAGTATTCTGCGTAATTTCTATTTCCCAGTACTCTGTTTTCCCCAGTGTCTAACCCTGTCTGTCTGTCCGCCTCCCCTCTGGTTCACTCACCTCCGTCCTCCGTTCCGTTACTTGGGCACGCCACCCTGCCCTTTCCGCTCGGACCTCTTCCACGGCGTCCTCCCGGCTCCTCCCCATGCCTCCTTACTTCCTCGGTCCCCAGTGTCCCAGGTTCCCTTGTCTCAGTCTCCTCGGTTCCCCGTACCGGTGTCTCCCCGGCGTCCGCCTCTCCCTCACCTTCACTGCCTTAACCCCTTTTCCCCCTTCAATAAAGCCTGTTCATCCCAAGTGTTGTATTTGGGTCCACTCTGTCCCCACAACATAACAGGATGCTTCCTTTCCCCTCTGCTCTCCTCCCTGTACACAAACAGCTACACCTCCAGTCACCAGACCCCAAGCTCATGAAGTGTGCAGATAACAGCACCCTCACTGGGCTCGTCTTTTGTGGGAATCATAAGCTTTCATACTGTCACATTCATACTAATTAACCATATGAAACTTTTCTACATTCTCTAAAGGTTACAGGTCAAATCTTCACAATACCTGGGACACATTTCTTCAACTTTTTGATGTCTTTCAGCTAAAAAGTACATTCATACCTAAAAACATTTATTAATGCAATTTGAAGTTTATTCAACTTTAAAATCTTATCCATATTATTTAGAACATTTACCATGTTTCCAAGTTTTCATAGTCCTTCAGCTGCTTCATGCAAATTAAAGTCAGCAATGCAGTTTAGCGTCAGCTTTTTAATAATCCTTAAAACCTTCCACATCTTTTATACATTTGTGCTATTCACGTCTTTTCAAGCCAGCAGTTCCGTTTAGCGCAAGCCCTTCAACATCCAGCATGCACACCGCAATTTCTTCAGAAATGACTTTTCTAGTTTTATTTCATATCATGCATATTGCATCTGGCTTATTGTTATTAATTGTTAATCGTTATTTTATATTTTTATATGTCAATTTATACATTTGTGTAGACAATATCATCTTCCGCTGCAATACGTCTACAACACAAATCCAGAGTAATACACATTTAAATATCTGCCACGTTGTTGTCTCTGCACATAGTTGTATTATTTTTCTCTATACTTTTATTACTTTATTTATTATTCTACTATATTGCATCTGTTTATTCATATGTATATATTTTGTACATTTATTTTTGCCAACTGTATGTTTGTCTATGTGTAGCACCTTATGACCACAGCAAATTCCTGGTACGTGTAAAATACTACTTTGCAATAAAGCTCACATGGCTCCAGATTTGCTTTGTACCTTTACATCATTTTTTGCAGGCTAAAATCATATTTGATTGACATAATCATTTTGGGCGGCAGTGGCTCGGAGGGGAAGAGAATACTTAGGTCGGTGGTTTGATCCCCGGCTCCCCTAGTCTGTATGTTGAAGTGCCCTTGGGCAAGATACTGAACCCCAAATTGCTCCCGGTGTGTGAATATGTGAATGTGTTTCTGTTTCTGGCCTCTGCTCATCAGTGCGTGAATGGATCAATGTAATGACTACAAAGCGATTTGAGTGGTTTTAAAGACTAGAAGACGCTATACAAATACGGAACATTTAATACCAGCTGTCGTTAGCAGGTGAAGTAATGTGGAAAGCCATATTGAGTATTTTATATATATAATACAGAATTTTGCACTGGATAATGTTACCAACTGGACACCCTAACCCTAACACTAGGATGACAGGATGAAAGCCAACTCTGTCTGTGTCATTGTGCAGTCAATTATTAACCCTTTATTTAACAGGCCCATACTGCCAAAAAGACGACCAAAGATATACAGATAGAATCCAGGTGAAGACCTGTTGATGTCAGGATAGAATGTATTCATCATACCTGTCTGTGTCTGCTCCCCTCCTTTCCCCTTCTTCTTCTTCTTCTTCTTGTCTTTGTTCTCTTTGGGTTTGGCCAGCTGGAGCAGTCTTGTGGGTAGTTGGGACTCCTTCTGTGCTCCCTGAGGCTTAGATGAGGAGAAGGGGTTAAAGTTTTTGCCCATCCTCTTAGATCCGATGCGGAGAAAAAGCTCTTTGGTTGGAGCAGAGGATGAGAGCTCCACCTGCAGTACATCCAGAAAGGGGAGAGTCCCTGTAGTTATAGACTCATGTCACGACCTACTAAACTGCAACTAACACACTGGTTTGTTCTCCCTCTCTGAATCATTTTCTACTGAGAGCTTTGTTTCTTACCTCTTTTGGCTGTTCTGCTGCTTCTTTTGAATCCAGATTCAGAGACCCGGAGCTGTGGAAAATTATGGAGTCTTCAGAGGTGGTGGAGGGAGTCCGCTGGTACTTCTGAAGCTGCTCCGACTGTAAATAATGCATAGACATGAGAGACATTAAGTCACAGTATATGAAGTGTTTAATCCAGCAGCCACACCCTTGTTGTGTTTCTATGTAGTGTCATGGAGTACCACAGATCTGGGTTCAGGATTATATGATATGCGCCTTAGAACACGAATCCACACTGACACAAAGACTTTCCTGAGTCAGTTGAATGCATTTGAAGAGCAACCTAACAGCAGCTGAAAATCTTTTGCTGACCCCAGTCGTTTGACTTGGACTTGACACAAATGTGTGTCAGTACACTGTGACATCACCCAACCACACTCAGCGAAACTGACTTGAAACTGGAAATGACATTACTGATTTCAGCCTGCTGTTAAGTTACTCATTACACCTATACCAGCACACTGAGCAACTGCATCTAGCAGGTATGCTCTTTAATAGCTAAAATAATGTCTCATTGTCAGGAACATTAATATCTGGTACTCAGTGATCAGCAATGTAATGAATCGGAGCACAAACAGTAAGTATGGAGAGGTCTGGCTGTGGAGGTCACTCTGCTGTGGACTACTCTGCAGATTTTTGGGGGGTTTTCAGTATACCTGGCAGGAAGTGCTTTGTTTAGTTTTGTGTTAGCTTTACTTGTAGCTAAAGTAACCGCTAACTACTGCTAACAGTAGCAGCAATTAGCTGGGAGTGTTGGTGTTTACACTGCTAGCACAGGAGCTTTGGACTGCCAGGAGGAGGAGGTTTTGAGGGTTATAAAGCTCCCAGTCCAGGTAATGGGGCCTCTTCGGTTAACTGAGATAAATAGCTAACGGCAGTTACAAAGCAAAGTTACACTTAGCAGCAGTTACTCTAAAGCTATCTGTCCATCTAGAAACTTACTTACAGTAATCGGGCCAAGCATACTACCTACTCTGGCCCCCAAAACACACGCACAGCATTGGGTGTATAAAGAGAACTGGTTACAGAGGATCATAGCCCCTCAGCAGGCTTCCTGGAAGTAGTCCAATCAGAAGAAAGTGAACATTTGGTAGGGGTGCCATAAAGAGACAGGAGCTGAAACACCTTGTTTGTTGTAGCTACATCCAAACAAAGCCTAAATAAAGTGAAGAATGCCATTATCTTGAAACAAACATGGCTTGTGATTTCGACTAATGAATTTCAGAATCTGACAGTACTATTTATGCTCCAACTGTGGACAAAGGCTAAAAATAATATGTTGTGTAATTAGCCGCTGTTTTCGGCTGATTAGTCCAGTGAAGAAATGCAAAGCCTGACTCCTGTCAGCTGTTACTGTGACACAAGTTACAGCTTTAATTCATTGTAGTTGTCTGGCAATGTCAGCCAGTCCTGAGCAAATTTCACACAGTGTCGACCAGAGAGCAGCTCTAATCAGAGGAGCAGAGGGACCTGCATGGGTGGACTCTGACTACAGCTATTGACTAACAACCTTCATTAGCCTGTCTGCATCATAAACTCTACATGGGGAGAAACCCCCCAGACTCAGACCTGGTCTCTCTTCATGGCTTCCAGGCTGTCTGTATCTCTCCTCAGAGCCTCCGTGTCTCTTTCTAGCCTCCTACGGGCCTCCCTCAGCATCTCCAGCTCTCTCTGGTACTCCTCTTTCTTCCTCTGCAGCATCTCTCGGTCCTCCGTCAGCTCCCGATGCTTCCTCCTGGTCTCGTCCTCCTCCACCCTCAGCCTCTCCTCCCGCTCTGCCAGACCTTTCTCCTTCAACTCCCATACCTTTTCTCTCCTTCTCTTTTCTTCCTGGTGTGCAGCCTGCTGTTTCTGAAACAAACCATAAAGATAATACATTGAGTGCAAGACTACATGGGTTAAGTGTGGGGCTGGATTAAATGTAGGGTACAGAGAATCCATATCTAATGAACAAGGCAGTCAAAAAAAGCTGACTGCAGCCATGATACATTAAGTGAAAAGAAGACAGACTGAAGCAGCAGTGAAAGTGAACCTGCAGGCTGGCTGCCTCTTGTCTCTGTCTCTCCACACTCCTGTGTTTCTCCTGCTCAATGAGGGAGGAGGGTCGTGATGAGGAAGAGGATGAGAGCGAGGAAGAGAATGAGTGTCTGGAGGAGTTAGCGGTGAGCTGGTCGGTCAGGGCCTGCCGCTGGTCCTCGATAAATGAGTCCTGCTGGACCACTACAGCCTAGAGGCAAGAAGGAGGTTGGGACGAATTAGAATGAAAGTGAAACGTAACCACGGCCTGTATATGGTGTCTTTACTGCTGGTGTTTGTGGTACCTGCAGTGAAATCAGCAGGTCGTGAAGATATGTCACACTGTGCTTGACCTGCTGGAGAAACACAGCATGAAATTACATTGAGGTTTTATCACTGATAGTTTGAACGTTGAAAGTGCAACCATTTGATGTGGACAAATTTGTCACACTATGATATTATGTTATAAACAAGTCTTGTAAAATAATGATATCTAACTGATGATGTGTGTTTCTGCGAGAAAATCAATACTTAACACTAAAGACTGGATGGTGCCATATTTATTACGTAGAGGTAGTGTTTAATGAATAGCTTCAGAACATACAAATGATCAGAGGATGCTAAAAAGCTCAAGCAGTAAGATGGTGTTGCTGATGTAGCACCAGAGATGCTCAAAAGTACAGTATTTGGTCAAGTCTCAAGTCTTTGAGCTAGAGACCAAGTCAAGTCTCAAGTCACTCGTGGTTATAATGAATGTTGTATCACCTGCTGCGTTCATTCCAGGCTGCTTATAAAACTGCATAGCTATAAGGAATTCTGTAACTGTAACCTGTTTTTCACTTACAGAGCACAACCATGTAATGTGCAATGCAACTAAAGACAGCTTATTAACTACTGTAAGTCAACACACCCCCGGACTCTCAAATCCAGTGTAATGTTACTAAATAAAACTATAACATTACATGATCAACCTGTTTTTCACTTACAGAGTTTAACCATGTAGTGCATCTACAACTAATAACAGCTTATAAACCACTGTAAATCAAGCCTATTTTGCATTCAGTGCTTCTTTTGTTTGTTGTATTTGTGGTATTTGTTTGTTTTTTGTATGAAGTTTTACAGCCAAAGTTTATGATGAATGGCAAAGCAGCTGCCGGTCAACATGTTTGTTGTCCTCTCTCACGTGTGGCCATGTGCAGCAGATACGTAGTATGTGTTACCTAGGTAACACAACCTATAGGTAACGCAGGGAGGGGAATAACACCAAGCTCATCAGACGTTTCCTAAAAATAAACAATGTTCACGAGTCCGAGTCAAGTCTGAAGTCACTGTGTGTGCGACTTAAGTGCAAATCAAGTCTTAGTTTCCCCATCTTTGTGTAGCACAACGTTAACCTGCAGTGAGGGTTGTAAACAGACCAGTGGGTGGGGCTCGGCTGAAACAAGAAACCCACAAACTCACCTCATTGTATCTCTTCAGGAATATCTGTAGGCTGGCAGTGGCTCCCTGAGGTACACGCGCGCGCACACACACACACACACAGACACAGACACACACACACACACACACACACACACACACACACACACTTCAAATTAACATTTACAGCCATGCTGCTATATGAACAGTTTCAGGCAGAGAGTCTGCATGGACTTTGAACAGCAGTGAATACTGAAAAAGGCACAGAGGAACAGATGGGACTTTGCTGAAGATGAAGTATGGAGAGTGAAGTTGAAAATTACACAACAATGTTGTCTTTATCTGCTGCTGAGACACACTTAGACTCTGGTTTTACTCTAGCAGATCCTGAGATCACCATTACACTTTCAAGACTATATTCTATATAATTTTGCTACCTTTATTTTCAACTGCCACATGTATACTGTGTATCACAGTCAATGGTATTAGTAATGGCATTTGTACTGGGACCAACTGGAAGCGCCAATGTTATCTTAGCATGTACGTAGCTAGCTTCATGCAAGACCAACATAACTACTTGATAGCATATTGTTTATATCAATAACACTGACATAGCTAAAATGCTTTGCCTGCATACTATAACCACAAAAACTGCACTTGGCTCATGGTCATTAGACCTCCACCTTCCTTTTTAAATACAGTCAACAAGTTATTTCTACGAGTGAGGGATCAGGAACATGAGCTCATTTTAAGTGTTAGAAAGTGATTTATGGTGTTGAAGTCCAAACCACTCTAAGACTGTCCAGCCATGCTAACAGCTTTGTGAGGATGCACTTAGTCAGGATGGTGCTTTGAGATTAATGCTAACATCAGCATTCTAAGATATCTATTCTACATTATACACTAATCTATCCGGTTCATCTGCTCTGTGCAGCTTGATACTGCTTCAATCAAAAAAAGACTCAACATGTATTCTCCGCAGAGCAGAGCAGAGATATACTCTACAGCTTGCATCCTGATGTGATGCAACACCTGAGCTTTTTGGACAAATAAATACCCAAAGTCGCCACGGATTCTGCTCAATATAAAGCCGTTTACAAGCGGGAGGAGCTCAGAGTTAATCTCTTTTATTAAATTAACTTTATAATTTTAATTTAGGGGATTAAAAAGTGCATCTAACTTCACTCACGCTCCTCAACCTGTCTGTTGCAGGGAGGCCAGGGCCCCAGACGGTGACCATTTTTTCAAAATGTGCAAGTTAAAATTTCATATGGTTGCATTCGTGCGACTGCAAGGTGGTCATTAGCAGCTCTACAGTGCGACTGTTTCATTCGCAAAATGCCCCTAAAGAGCGAGCACACTGTGCTAGTTAATACTGCAACCTAACCCTGCCGCAGTTCAAAACATAGTATGACTGGTCACTCGTCAATGTGTTTTCGTCAACCAACCAATCACAGCTTGGATGGGAAGGGACATTAAAAAAATTGACATGCTACAGCAAACTTACAAAAGTTGAACTCGTTCTGTATAAATTGTTCTGATTACTGACCATGTAGAGCATTTTTCTTGCACAAGGATTAAATTAATAGAAACTAGCCACTAAAATGTCTATGAAGATTCTCAGTCATCCAGGTCATAGTTATCCAACGAAGGTTAAAGTCAAGGGCAACTGGACTGGGTTGAAGATACTGGAATGCGTTTCGTCCCTCATCCAAAGGACTTCTTCAGTTCTGACTGACTGGCAAGGAAACTCAGCTATTTAACCTCAGTGGGGTCGTTTGCCAGGGTCATTGATACTGCTGGTTCGTTAGTGTTCCTGGTTGCTGTAACGACAGTCGTTTTGCCGTGCCCATTTGCGAAACCCATAAAACATGAAAATTTTTGCCCTGCCTGATATATGTGCAACGTTTTCGAGTATGTTTAGGCCCACAAAACTGAGGTGACTTTGCAGAAAAAAGAAAGAAAAAAGAAAGAAAAATTGGGCAAGCCCTCGCACGTGTAGCGCGTTGAGGTGTGAGCTCTGACAGTGTGGCTGTGAATTTACCAGGGGCTTCAGTCTTCCTGTGTCCTGTTTGTGGCGGTACATAGCACTTCGCACTACGACTTTAACTGAACATGTAGATGTGTTTGGGGTGGGACTGTTATCAACCATGTAAAGTTTGGTGCTGATGCGAGCATGTACACTGAAGTTACAACTTCTTTCATGGCAAATCATCGTTTTTGGACGCCATGTCACGGGCACAACGTTCCACGAAAACTCACAGTTTGTACAAACCTTTAATCATCAATGGCTTTAGATATAGGGAAAATCTGAAGTTGGTCGGACTAAATCTCTAGGAGAAGTTCGTTAAAGTGTATAGTAAATCAAAAAATGACCATAAAATTCAAAATGGCCAACTTCCTGTTGGGTTTAGGGCATCGCTCCAAGAGGTTTTTCTGTACATGATCCATGTGCCACAAAAATTTCATAAATGTAGGTAAAACGCGCCGTGGGGAGCTTCCTGTTGCCAGCAGGTGGCGTTATGACTATGGGTGAATGTTGGCATGTGGATGTGTTCAGGGCGGGAATCTTATAGTACATTCCAAATTTGGATTTGATTAGATTACATCAACTTCTTGTTTTTTGACCAATCATCGATTTTGGACACCACACCACGGCCATGCCGTTCCACGAAAACTCACCGTTTGTACAACTTTTAATCGTCAATGGGTTTAGACTGCACAGCGAATATTTGAAGTCGATCGGACTAAATCCCTAGGAGGAGTTTGTTAAAGTAAAAAGTGTTTAAATCACCAAAAATTACCATTAAATCCAAAATGGCTGACTTCCTGTTAGGTTTAGGCAATGGCTCCAAGAGGCTTTTTTGTGCATCTGGACATGATACACCTACCACAGAAATTTCGTACACATAGGTTAAACTTAGTCCAGGGGCTGCTCTGTAGGGGGCGCTAGCGAGCCATTTTGCCACACCCATGCACGAAACCCATAAAATGCTAAATTTTTCGCCACTCCAGAATTTTGTGCAAAGTTTGGTGGGTTTTGAGTTGCGAGTACGCACGGTTCATGCTTGGGCCCTAATAAAATCCCTACAGTTTCAATAGGGACCTCACACGTTTTGTGCTTGGGATTGATTAATGGATGGAGACACATATATAGACAACACACACACACACACACCTTCTTCAATATGCTGTCTGACTCAGTCCTGCGGAGGTCCAGTGAGTCATCCCCCTCTTCCTTCTCTCCATCTGAAGACAGAGAAGAAAAGAGGAATGGGAAGGAATGAAGGAGTTTAGAAGTGAGTCAGGTTTTGCCAAAGATAAAGAAAATCAGTCCTCAAAGGAAACTGAAAAAAGTTTCATTACTCAAAACTGAACAACAGACAAGGTTTTTAAACGTGTTTAAAAAGCATGTGCATGTGTCTTACTCTTGCTACTGTTCATCTGATGACTGTCGAAGCCTCCGAACGTCTCAGCTCTCCTGGGCAAAGAGACCGGTCCCACACTGCCTCCTGTCAGGCCAACTGCAAGACTGCATTCTGCTCCACCAACACCACTATTGACTAAAGCCTGCAGGGTCTCCACTGGAGAGAGATGGAAAATATTATTCACAATACTCAACTGTTTTATCTGATATCTATGGGACAGACACTATGATTTAATCTCAGAACCCTGCTCACATTCCTTCAGGGCATCCTTTATGATTGGCTCCCCCTTTGTGACATCATCAGGCGTTGCCCTGAATAACATCCGTTCCTTGACTGGTGGGTTTATATCATCAGGGGCGATATTACAGTCGCCCAGCTCTCTGAAGATGTGGACCTTCTCCTCCAATAATGAGATGATCTGCTCATCTTTCCTTCGTAGAATCTCTGGAATAAAACACGAATGAATAAATGACACCAATGCAAGGACGTAGTTTGGTGAATAGAACAGAATACAATATAACAGTAGACGTGGGTGGTCACCTCGTATCTCCTTTGCTCTGTTCTCCTGCAGCCGCCTGTCCTCTTCTGTCTCACTGGGAACTCCCTCATCCACGTCTTTCTCCCTGTCAACATACGAATATACACCCAGTGTAATCCAATATTATCCAACAAGTTTTATTCTCCATCCATCCAAACAAATTTAAGACCTGCATCTCTGAACGGTGATATTCAAAGAACTTTAATTAAAATTGCTTCAGTGCATCATGTCAGCTGGGAGAATCTGACACTTGAAGATGTGGACGTGAGAGGACCAAAGGCCCACTGCTCCGATATACAGGTGCTGGTCATATAATTAGAATATCATCAAAAAGTTGATTTATTTTGGTAATTCCATTCAAAAAGTGAAACTTGGATATTATATTCATTCATTACACACAGACTGATATATTTCAAATGTTTATTTCATTTAATTGTGATGATTAAAACTGACAACTCATGAAAATCCCAAATTCAGTATCTCCGAAAATTAGAATATTACTTAAGACCAATACAAAAAAAGAATTTTTTGAAATGTTGGCCAACTGAAAAGTATGAACATGAAAAGTATGAGCATGTACAGCACTCCATACTTAGTTGGGGCTCCTTTTGCCTGAATTACTGCAGCAATGCGGCGTGGCATGGAGTCGATCAGTCTGTGGCCCTGCTCAGGTGTTATGAGAGCCCAGGTTGCTCTGATAGTGGCCTTCAGCTCTTCTACATTGTTGGGTCTGGCGTATCGCATCTTCCTCTTCACAATACCCCATAGATTTTCTATAGGGTTAAGGTCAGGTGATTTTGCTGGCCAATTAAGAACAGGGATACCATGGTCCTTAAACCAGGTACTGGTAGCTTTGGCACTGTGTGCAGGTGCAAAGTCCTGTTGGAAAATGAAATCTGCATCTCCATAAAGTTGGTCAGCAGCAGGAAGCATGAAGTGCTCTAAAACTTCCTGGTAGACGGCTGCGTTGACCTTGGACCTCAGAAAACACAGTGGACCAACACCAGCAGATGAAAAGACTAGAAAGGCGCTATACAAGTACGGAGCATTTACATTTACATGGCACCCCAAACCATCACTGACTGTGGAAACTTTACACTGGACTTCAAGCAACGTGGATTCTGTGCCTCTCCTCTCTTCCTACAGACTCTGGGACCTTGATTTCCAAAGGAAATGCAAAATGTACTTTCATCAGAGAACATAACTTTGGACCCCTCAGCAGCAGTCCAGTCCTTTTTGTTTTTAGCCCAGGCGAGACGCTTCTGACGCTGTGTCTTGTTCAAGAGTGGCTTGACACAAGGAATGTGAAAACTGAAACCCATGTCTTGCATACGTCTGTGCGTGGTGGTTCTTGAAGCACTGACTCCAGCTGCAGTCCACTCTTTGTGAATCTCCCCCACATTTTTGAATGGGTTTTGTTTCACAATCCTCTCCAGGGTGCGGTTATCCCTATTGCTTGTACACTTTATTCTACCACATCTTTTCCTTCCCTTTGCCTCTCTATTAATGTGCTTGGACACAGAGCTCTGTGAACAGCCAGCCTTTAGCAATGACCTTTTGTGTCTTGCCCTCCTTGTGCAAGGTGTCAATGGTCGTCTTTTGGACAGCTGTCAAGTCAGCAGTATTCCCCATGATTGTGTAGCCTACAGAACTAGACTGAGAGACCATTTAAAGGCCTTTGCACGTGTTTTGAGTTAATCAGCTGATTAGAGTGTGGCACCAGGTGTCTTCAATATTAAACACTTGAAATATATCAGTCTGTGTGGAATGAATGTATACATTATACAAGTTTCACTTTTTGAATGGAATTACTGAAATAAATCAACTTTTTGATGATATTCTCATTATATGACCAGCACCTGTGTGTGTGTGTGTGTGTGTGTGTGTGTGTGTGTGTGTGTGTATATATAGTAAAATTTTATTTCACTTTGTATTTACACCCATACATCCACACACACACACACACACACACACACACATCCATTCCATTAGTCACAATAATTCATAGCAAGCCGTTGAGAGATTTCCTGTATGCTGCTGAACTTTAAAGTTTAGCTATTATATTGCATTTACTGCCTCGCCTCCTGGGGAAAGAAAAGTTCTTAACATTATTGATCAGGGGCTGCCAATGACTGGAAAATATTTCCGTTGAACCTCTTATGGAGAATTTGATCTTCACCAACAACAAGATACTGTATCAAGCAACCATGAGGTAGGTGATGGGGGTAAAGACTTTTTCCATAGTAAGAGTATTTTCCGACATTCCATTAAGGTGAATGAGATCATATCTGCTTGTTTTAAGGATAAATTTCCTCCAGCTTCAGGAATACCAAAAATAGAACCATCCCTAAAGATTGCTATTATTTTCTCTAATATTACTGAAAGACGGCACTGAAATAAGACTTCCAGTACTCCCTCAGACTAGGACATGTCCAAAACATATGAGTTACATTACAAGTAGCCTGGGAGCACCTGTCACAGGTGTCTTCCATATGTGGGTATATCTTGGATAGTTTAGATTTGCTATAGTGTGCCCTCTGAACAATTTTGAATTGTATGAGTTGAAATTTTGCACAAGATGAGCAAGATTTGTTTCCTTCAACGCCTTAGTCCACAAATTGTCAGATATGATCATGCTGAGTTCTGTCTCCAATTCTGTCTTAATCTTCATCAAAGCCAAGGGCGCATATGGAGCTGAGAGATCATATAAGAATGAGTTATGACGCCTAGTCATTTTTGTCACTGGCAAAAGATTATCTATCCCTGAAGGGGGTGAGACATTTGGGAAAGAAGGTGTGTTTGATTTAAAGAAATGCCGAATCTGAAAACACCTGAAAAGGTCAGTGTTAAAGGCAGTACGCAACTGATCCAAACTGGGGAATATACAATCATCTGTCTTTCTCAAAAAAAAGATTCTGGCATCAATCTTCTCAGATTTAAATGTATTATTATTATTACACATTGGGGTATTAACTGGAATACGTAGCCAGATTTCTAAAGAGGAAATAACTCTCTCTCTCTCTCTCTCTCTCTCTCTCTTTTGAATTGAATTGAACTATTGGGTTATCTGCGTTGCTTGGGTGTAAGCCTATATCAAAGCTTTCAAGGAAGAAGAATAGCATGAATGGGATTCCAGTTGGCACCGCTGAGTATCAGGCAGGGGTGGACTGGAACAAAAATTCAGCCTTGGTACTGTATCCACACCAGCCCACACATTCCCACTCACGAACACACATTCACTACATTTGTGTACAGATTTATAACATTTAATGTATGTGACTGCCACACAATGCTCAATAGTTTTTAAAGAGCACACGTTTATAACAAATTTACACATACAATGGCTGTCAATCTGAGTATGTTGTAGAGTCTTTCTGCTGTTACTGTCTTTCTCTACTGCAGAGTTATTACAAACATTTGTGTGTCACTGTTCTCTTCCTACCTCTGCCACCCTCCTCCCTGTCTCTGCTAGGCCTACAGTAGCATCCTTCCTCACAGCACTGGTACTAGAAGACATGGGGTCTTTGACTGTACTGATTCCAGCAACATCCTAGTTCATGAAGATCTAAAGGATCCTATACTGTGTATAGGATGCACCTGCACCTGTGTGTTCACTGTTGCTTTACCTTGTCCGTGCTTGTAAAATATCCACCCTGGCTGTGTCTTATAACGTAATAGATAGCATCCCTCTCAGTATTTTTCTGCAAAATGCTTAAATTGGTTGCCAAATATCCTTGGGCCTATGTGGGGGATTTGACTGGCCCACCCCAAATGGCATTTGCCAGAATTGTCAGATAGCCAATCCGCTCCTGGTATCAGTGTGAAAGGCCCACTGTGTATTTTTGAAGATCTTCTTTAATTTTTGTCAGAAATTTGTTGTTAAACAGGAGTGAAAAGTTTGAAACGTTAATTCCTAAATATTAAAATTTTGTTGGGGATAGAGTGAATGGCAGATCTGACTGCACAAGGTCCCCTACCAACTGACGGATGGGGAAGAGGTCACTTTTCCCTATATTTAGCTTGAATGTGCCAAAGATCTTGAAAGTGTACAGAATGATTGGGACGCCCTTTTCAGGTCTAAGACATAAAGTAGCAGATTGTAGCAGATCATAGTAGCCTTGGGACAGCCTTGGCTTGTTCCCTGCAATAGAGGGAGGACGATATGATGAACATTTGGCTAGGTAAGTATTACTGATATGGCAGCTTAGAGTGGGCAGCAGACTGTCTTTCATCAGGGATTCATTAAAGATGTTTAACAACAGAGGGGTAAGCTGTTTGGAGAACTTAAAATAAAATCTACAGAGAAGCCATCGGGCCCTAAAGACTTTCCACTGTGCATTGATGTAATGACTTTGGTTATCTCAGCTTTATTTTGTGGAGTATCCAGATTGTTTCATCTTCAGTTGATAGGTTTGGGATATTTTAATTAGAAAGGAAATTTAGCATTTTTAAATTGTCACTTGGTGATTCATAGAGCTGGGAATAGAAAGACCTAAAAGTGTCACTTATCCCTGCCGGGTCAGTTATTATTTCACCTGAGATGTTTTCTATTTGAGTGATCAGTTGTGAAGCTAACTTGTCTTTTAGCTGATTTGCAAGGAGGCGCCCTGCTTTTTCCCCGTTTTCATATAAGATGCCACGTGTTTTGAGTAATAATGTCTCCTGCTCTGTTGTTGATAAATTCCATTCGCCTTTCAGCTTTTTCTTTTAAAGATCTTTAGATGGGTTCAGTGCAGGTTTATCTAAGTCTGTTAGTGGTTTCAGTAGTTCTTGTTGTCATTCTTTTCTTGGCAGAATATATGCAGAATATGAAATTATCTTGCCTCTAAGAAGTGCCTTAAGGGTCTCCAAGAGCAAACTGGGACTAGTGTTTCTAGGAACAGATCTATAGATTAAGTAATACAGATGCAAAACTGAGATTCAAGGATCTGAAGGAACTGAAACAAGGATCATACCATTTTGGAGATATGGGAGTGCTCAATGTCTGATTTTACATAGAACCAGTTTTCTCCCAATAAGTTAATATACAGCCTGTTAAAATATACATTTCAACGTTTAATGCTGTAAATAAACATGTAAAAAGAAAAAAAGTTTTTAAAGTGCGTAAATAAATCCAAAATTACAATCCTAACCCTGGGTTGTCAGTGCGCGTGTGTAGGCGTAGCGTCTATGTATGTAGTGGCAGAAGAGGAACACTTGCTGAAGAGAGAAGAGACGGAGCTCCAGCTTCACTGGTGTTGTGCCCCCCGGCTCGCAATCTCCGTGCACAAAAACACACATGGGCATATAGGCAGGGCTTGACGATTCTGATTCGACTATGTAAATCCTTAGTCGGGGACAGCCCTAGTTCATAGAATCTGATAAAGTCTGTGCCATTTTAGAGGGGGTTTTGTTTTGTGGTTTGATTTGTGGGGGGGACTCTACCACAGTTTTCAAGTCTCCTCCATCCATAGATGGTCAGTGTGTAAATTTGGTATTGATGAAAGGATTTTCTTCATGATGTCTTCGTCGTTGTGGTTATGGGCATACACGTTTACTAAAACCACTGGATGCTGACATTAAGTGCCAGCTACAATTATGTAGCTCCCATTATTGTGGAAAATGGATTTAACAGGATTAAAAGGAACATTTTTCTCATTCAATATTGCCGCCCGTCTTGTTTTAATTTCAGACCTAGAATGAAAGATTGAGCTTATCCAAGGTCGGTTTAGTCACTGATGGTTGACATTCTGTAAATGAGTCTGTAATAACGTCTGTTTTAAGATATTTAGGTGGGAAAGTATCCTTGTAAACTGTAAGACCTGCTCCCTTATTTACATTACTGTTATTAGTGTTAGTCTTATGGACAGGTGCTGAAATCTAAGAGGCTGTGGCATATGGAGTGGACCCATACATATTTGTAGACTGAAACTGACAGGAGAGCGGGAAAACCAACCAAACAAAAAAAAACTAGAAATATACAATCCCAAAGGAGAAACTGGAGCCCCCTATCCAATTCCTCACCCACCCACCTACACTTCCTCCCCCTATGTCCACTCCTATGTCCCCCAATAGTCAGAGAGATCGGGAAGGGAGAAGGGAAAGAGAGAGAAAGAGAGAGAGAGAGAGAGAGAGAGAGAGAGAGAGCAGGCCGCACCAGCGCCCTGCCCCCAAAAAGTTACAGAACAATTTCTGTAATAAAGAAACTACCGAGAACTAATTACAGATTATTTGGCATTTCACCGTATTGTGTGTACAGTGCCTTGCACTGTTTGCACGCCCAATTTTTCAGTTTTGTATTTGTTAAAAAGGTTTGAAATATCCAATAAATTTCGTTCCACTTCATAATTGTGTCCCACTTGTTGTTGATTCTTCACAAAAAATTACAGTTTTATATCTTTATGTTTGAAGCCTGAAACGTGGCAAAAGGTCGAAAACTTCAAGGGGGCCGAATACTTTCGCAAGGCACTGTATTTCTGGTTATACCCATAAAACATAACGGCCATATTCATAACTTAAACAACGCAAGGATTCCTTGATGATATTAATTATAATTAAAAAGGCATTTGGGAACGACTTACTAGTGATTCTACCACACATTTATACTCACCAAAGAAGGTTAAAATCAAGGGCAACTGGACTTGGCTGAAGATACTAAAAGAGGTTTTGTCCCTCATCTAAGAGACTTCTTCCGTTCTGAAATGACTAGTAGGGTACAGCTATTTAACCTCTGTGGTGCCGTTTGCCAAGATCATCGATACACAGCCTTCCTTTCTTGGATGGTGAGGTTACTAGGGGGGCCTTCACATTAGAAAGGGGTGCCGATACCTTTAGCCTGAGTTATTCTGCTTCTGTTAATGAGGTCCACTATAGGTAGCTGCTCTGGTGTCATGGCAAAGTTAATCCTTTGGCCAAAACGTCTTGCTCTGGTTGGGTGAGTTCCCTATCTGACAGATTTTTTCACCCATCTGTTATCGGTTTCCCGCACTGTAGGGTTGGGAGTATCAGGAAAACTGAGGAGGATTTTCAACCAACACCACATCCCAGTGTTTTTTAAACCCAAGAACACGCTAAGACAGAGGCTGGTCCACCCCAAAAACTGCACCCCCAAGCACAAGAAAAGCAATCTAGTGTATGCAGTCCAATACAGTGAGGAATGCACAGACCTGTACATTGGGGAGACTAAACAACCACTACACAAACGCATGGCTCAACACAGAAGGGCCAACTCCTCAGGTCAAGACTCTGCAGTCTACTTACATTTGAAGGACAGAGGACACTCGTTTGAGGACCACCAGGTGCACATTTTAGACAGAGAAGATGGATGGTTTGAAAGAGGTGTCAAGGAAGCCATCTACATCCGGGTCGAGAAGCCATCATTGAACAGGGGAGGGGGTCTACGCCACCACTTATCCCCCACTTACAATGCTGTCCTTTCATCACTTCCCAGGAAACTGAACAAATGCAACCTATTGGCCTCAGGTGAAGATACCAACGATGGTCGTTCAGACTTGGCCACGGGTAGTCCTAACAACCATGACGACTGTCATTACAACAACCAGGAACACTAACAAACCAGCAGTATCGATGATCTTGGCAAATGACCCCACAGAGGTTAAATAACTGAGTTTCCCGACTAGTCATTTCAGAACTGAAGAAGTCTCTTGGATGAGGGATGAAACGTCTTCTAGTATCTTCAACCAAGTCCGGTTGCCCTTGATTTTACCCTTCTTTGGATAACTATGACCTGGATGAGAGGGATGTGGATGTATTTAGTGATGGCACCTGACAGTTAAAGCAAAGAATGTGCATGTCCTTTTAGGCCGCTTTCCTTGTCGTTTCACTGTAAATTAACCACCCAGTCTGCCTTGTGCAGGGGCTCAACAAATGAGCTGTAGCTGTCCAAACGAGTAAAGGGTCCAGGGTCTGACCAGACTGTTCAAAGACACGAAAATAAAAATAATGTCAAGAAGAATACACCCAGTCGTGATGCAGCTCGTTATTTCACCATCAGAGAACAATGTAGCCTGTATATAAAAAGAAAATGAAAAAGTCTATGGTCTCAGGGTACCATGTCAATACAGCTGTATGGATCTGTCCATTATAGTCCGTGCGCCGTGCTGTTGCTATTTATTTCCTTCAGAAGAAGGAACATGAGAAGCTCAAAAAATACCAATGGCTGAAAGAGGAGCTAGAAAGATGTTGAAAGCAAGAGTAACAGTGGTGCCAGTGGTAATCGGAGCACTGGGTCCGTGGATGTTGCTGTCGCTTGCGATTACCACATCTGACACTACTGTAATGTCTGGTCGGTTAGCCATCAAATCTGTTAGTGAGCACTTCTCCTTTGCCGAGATAATCCATCCACCTCACAGGTGTGGCATGCTGCTGATCAGACAGCATGGGGATTGCACAGGTGTGCCATAGTAAAAGGCCACTCGAAAATGTGCAGTTTCACTGTATTGGGTGGGTCAATACACAGCAATACACATGCTGCTATGCAGATGCACATGGTAGCTCCGCTTTAATCTTGAGAAGCTGCAGACTCTATATTCATTCAACTTACCATGTAATTTTCCAGCTAAACTGAGGCTTATTGTTGACCCTTCTCTAACTCTCTCTCTTGCCTGCCATTCACCGGTCTTGTGTAAAGTTTAGCATGCATGCCATGCGGCCGACACCTGCATGCACGTCGCGGTTCCTCGCGGGCCTATTTCAAGTAGCGGATGTTTAAAAATGATAAAATATTGTTTGTGAAAATCCAGCTAGGTGAGAACAACTCGGCACAACACTGGTGAAGCTGGGGCTCTGTCTCTTCAGCAAGTGTTCCTCTTCCGCCACTACATACATGCGCACTGACGACCCAGGTTAGGGTTACAATTTTGGATTTATTTACGCACACATTTATACAGAATTAAACGTTGAAATGTATATTGTAATGGGCTGTATATTAACTTATTGGGGACCCTTACGTTGAGGACCCCCATATTGCCAAAGTGGCATGATCCTTGTTTCGCTGCGAAATGGAGCCTGATTCGACTGTAAATCTCACAGTCGAATCAGGCTCCGCCCATCGAAGCATTGAATCTTCGACTATTTGGGGTCAGCCTTAGAGTGTGTGTGTGTGTGTGTGTGTGTGTGTCCTCACATGCAGTGCATAGCGTCCTGTATAATGGCCATCCATGTGTTGCGCTCGTCCTTGCTGCTGGCCAACACCTCCACCATCTCTGGTCTTTCTATACCAGCTGTGATCAGAAAGAGACCTGCAGGTGACAAAACCTGTTCCACATCAGCTCAGTCTTCATTTACCCAATTCACTGATTCATTTCAAACAGGTACTGTCTGAAAATCCACAGTGAACAATTGAGTGTTTTAAAGTTGAAGCAATTGATTTAATTCTGTGTAATTCTATGAAAGCAAGAAAAATAAAATCACAATACAAATGCAACAAAGTAGAGAAATGACAATGACTGACCTCGCTCCTCATTAGCCACTTCTCTGACAATCAGACCCTGTAAAGAGACGACTGTAGAGCGCTGATCCTGAGAACAAACAGATCCAAATCAAACTGAATCTTCATGAAAATGTAGATGGATGGATTATATACTGTATATTTAAATTTAATATAAAACAAATCCAGTTTTGAATTGTGCTACTTACCAATGAGGCAAAGACATATTTCTGGTCTTTTTCCTGAAGAAAGACCAACACGTCAGTCAGGAGCATGGCGTGGACATCTGCAATGCGAAAAGCAAGGATTATGACAACATCCTGTCTGCTGTCTGAGTGGCATCATTTACACACATTTTCATTTATTTAAACAATGAATGCACTTGAATGAGACTGCATCTTGAACCTTTGAGTCGTCCAGCAGAGTTTTTCAGCTGCAGTGCTCCATCATGCAGCAGCTTCCTCCCTCTGATCAGGTCCTCTTTAGCAAACATCTGACCGCTCTTCATCCTCATGATAGACTTGCTGTCGGTGCGACTGGAGATCACAGAAAACATTTCATGTTAACCTTTTAGAACCTTGTCTACTCAGCCACAGAAGTGCACTGGTTAACCCATTTTGGACTGAGAATAAAGCTCTAGCTGATCCAGCTTCACTCTCCTTTCCTCTGGAAGCTGCTGTTATTCTTCCAACTTAAAGGGCCAATATGTAGTTTTCAGTGGCCAGTAACTGTGCGGTTTTTAGATTGCAACCAGGGGTGTGCTCATACAGGTGCTCAAACTCATGAGCAAGCAGAATCCGACACACATATACACACTAACCAGAGACAGCTTCACACAACATGCTGGAAACTCAGGTAAACTCTTACTGCTATATTATAGAGATGTTTTTATCAGTTTGGCATTGAATTAATCCATTATTATTGCACAATAACGTACATTGATTGAATTCAGCCAACATCTCAGCATTAGCTCGCCTGCTGGCTTCTGTTTATGTATATTTTACCGGAGGCTCAGCACTGTCAGCACAGCTAAATGTATTGAATGATAATGAAATGAAGAATTATTTTTGTTGGGTGAATTTAAGAGCCCCAGAACAGAAAACAGAATTTTTCTCTTATGCCCTGAGTTGATACATGAGTTGTGATTGAGGTTGTCCATCATTTGGGCCAATAAACAGTATGTAGCTTCTAGTCAAACTGGCGTACCTGTAGACCTCCCTCAGTCTCTGTTTCTTCTCCTGCTCGTTGACTTTACTGTCCACAGCTGTGATCAGCTCCTTCACACAGCGCAGTGCTTCACAGACACAGTTGTGGTCTTCATCAGAGTCTGTCAGATCAGAGAGGTACCACATAAAACATGGCTTCACTATTCCTCTTATCTTGTTGCATTATCCCGTGGGCCACTATTCCACCTACACTGTAGTCTATTTAGCATGATGACAGTTCACAACGTCTTAACTGAGATTTAAATTTCATAATCAAACTGTGTAACATTCCTTTTCATTTCTACAGCTTCAGTGACGATGTCTCACACACATTATTCATGCACCATTTTTATATTGATTCCAAATAACCAATAAAATGTCCACAAGATTGAGTGACTTTTTGTTTGGGACTGTGGAGTCTGTCAGGGACTTTCTACAGGGCATGTCTCCGTCCTTACTTTTAGTGTACTGGAGTATCCTCTGGATCAGAACGGGATATTTGGTGATCCTCTGAGTGACCAACAAAATGCACTCTGGAATACTGAGCCTCCGCACAATGCTGCTGCTCATTATCCTCTGCACAACCACAAATACACAGACACAAAGGTCATTTCAGAAGCAATAAGATGCAGATGAACGCAGCACTGTAACAGACTTTCCCAGACATGTGATATATAAAAAGTAGCTGAGGTGAGATGAGTGCTGACCTTGATGAAAGCCTGGAAGCGTTTATCTTTGGCATGCATGTCTTTGTAGAGACTGACAGCTTCATTGTGGCGGCTGCAGAACTTCCCGTAAACCTTCTTCATAAGATCGGCACTGCAGCCTGAAAACTGAATGTATAAACAACATTCAAACGTGAGGATGGAAAAATGTCTGCGCAGCATTCTGCACAGCATGCTACAGTACATCCTGTTAGACACCCTTTCCTGTGGAAAATGGTTAGAAAACTCAGAAAGAGCAACAGAGGAGGGATCCATATCCCAGGACAGACAGACAGGAAATAGATGTCGTGTGTACTAAGGCTGAACAATAAAGAAAAATGTAATTGTGATTATTTGACTGATACTGCAATTGTGATATGATTTGTGCTTATGTTAGAGGGAAATATCATTTTACATCATTATTCTGATTTTCATTGAAAAATATACTGAATTGATTATGATGTGACCAAACAAAGATATGTTCTTAAGTCTGTAGAATATGCTGTGTAGGCCAAGACATCTCTGCAGTACCACAATATTTCACTTAAAATGGTATTTTGACACACAACAAAGGCCATATTGTGATTTCAATAAAATTTCCATTGATTGTTTAGCCCCAGTGCGTACAGAATAGATAAACAATAATGATGACAAAATGTAAACTGTAAAACATTTGAATGAAAGGATGTGAATCCTGTGAATTTACCCAGAGAATAAAACCTCTGACCTGTCTTCTGGTGCCAGCCTCACCGCGTTACGGCTGCCAGAGCTAATCGCGGCCATTCTAGTCAATACTTGTACTCACACCAGAAGCGCTGCAGCGCGTCTCAGAATTCTCTCAGCTAAGAATAGGCAATCAGTCTATTTTTGACGGAAGCCGCGTCAAGCAGCACAGAGCAGATGAACCAGACAGGAAGCCAGATACAGAAACGACATAGAGGATCCAGTCAAATTTAAAAATAAAATACCCATTGCAGACTCCCTCTCAACAATGAACACATTGAAAACAGACCTAACTATGTAGCCTACCTAACTATGGTAAAAGAACCAAAAATAATGACATCTGACCAAATCCACAAAATCAGCAAAATCAGTCTGGCAAAACGCTCTTATGCTGAAATGTTCCATGTGGGACATGAAGCCGGTTCACAGCCAGCTGAGATCGTAATATGAACCACAATACAGAACAATTAAACAACAAAGCAACAACGTGGGGCAGGCTAAACACTTTGCCGCTGAACCGCTTCTGAAAGGCTTCCAGTGTGAGGATGGAGGGGATGGAACAATACCGCAGTGCAGCCGTAGCCTGTGTGTATCTGGGGTCAGGAGAAACTTTACTTATTCAGCCTGACGACTACTAAAGCTCTGACAATAACAACATCCCGTTCAGTGCAACATGTGGATTGTTGGGTGTAGTGTATGGGCCCCTAGTCAGGCTTTAGACCTTTAGTCTCCCTGCCTTCAGTCTGGCAGTCCTTAAAACCTTAATGTCTAAATCAATCAGAAGTCTACATATCAAAGACTTTTCTTCTCTTCTCGCTAACCTGGTTGACCAGGACATCCCCGATGCTGCAAATGAGGAAGCTGTTGTTGTTTTGTCTCTCAGCTGATGAAGCTCTCTTCCTCTCCAGGAGCAGGGTGAGGAAATGTGTGTGAATATCCAGCAGGTTGTCCAAAACAGGGAAAATCTAAAGACAGTGATCAATAGACTCAATGTGGGATTCTTTTCTTAATATTAACATTGCATGTATCTGTGTCCTTGAAACCTTCTCCAGAGTGTGAGTGTCGAGCTGCAGCTCCTTCTGCAGGCCTTTATAGTACACTTCAGACATGATCTTCAGTGTCCTCACATGGTGGAACTCTGTCTGGTACAACTCTGTGGAGAGAAAGGACTCTTATTGCCTGGACACGACAGGAGCATTAATACCTAAAGGTGACCTTCCTCCCAAAATGAGTTACAACATATTTTACCATAGATGACGTCTTGTTTCTTGATATCATCTTTCTTCAGCATTTTTAAGAACTTTTTATCCACCGTGCCACTCCAAGAATCAGCTTCCAGATCTTTCATGTCGCACTCAAACTCTCCCATCAGCTGACTGTCCATCATCTCAGTACCTACATACACACACAAACAATAAGAAGGGTACATACAGGAATCTGCTTCTACATCAGAGACACAACTTTCTGTTGATCAGACAACAACCTAAAACACTTAAATACCACATGTTTTCACAGTTTGTGTATTTGTTGATGCTACCTTCATCGGTTAGTGACTCCATCGAGGCATTGACTTTGCTCCCCTGATGAAGAGAATCAGTGGACTGGGACAGAAACTTCCGGCTTTTCAGAGGAACATCATCTAACCTACAAGGAACAAAACCATGACCAGGAATGAGTTTTAATAGGTCCACTCTCTACAAATAACAACAACAACATTGAGTTCTCTCTAGCACAGTACAGGCTGGGGAAAAAAAGAAGGATATACCAGGGAAATAAAATTATTTTATTTTACAGGGCACAAAACCTACCATTTACTGCAGAAATGGCAGTGTATGAAAAAGTAACAATTTAAAGGAAGTGAGGTAAACAGTGTACGTCAACATGAGGGCTATTCCACTGTTCGCCAGAAGCTAATAAAATCAGCCAGGCTGAATATAGAAATTAATCATGCATTAATATCTAAAACTGCATTAAACATGCATTAAAATTAAATAAAATGACAGACACAGCGTTTTGGCCTTTGAGCTCAGAGTTTTGATTTCGCTTTGGGAATTTACTATATGCTTGTCTTATGCAGCAGCTTGCAGACACCAAGACTCTCTACATGACCCCAGCACTAAACAACAAATATGCAGACTCGGTGGAGACCAAAAAAAGAGCTAAAAGAGAGTGAATATTGGCTTTACATACCATCGGATGGCACAAACACCACTCCATAAAGATTATAAAGCAGTGTCTCTGCAAACTTGATTTGTATTTTTTTTTGCACTAGTGGCCAAAATACAAAATAGCAAAATAGCTTTTACATGAATGCTTGAAGTAGCAGGGGTTGATAGCACAACTAGTAAGGCAAATATGGGTCCAATGCATTTGCATGAAGAGATATTAACGTCAACCAAGTTAACATTAATAAGCCTTGTTCTGCTCACGTGGTTATGGTTATCAGCTCAACATGTGTGTATCAGTATAGTGCTGAAAGACACACAGGACTGACTCCTTGATCACTCAACCTCACCACTGCTGCACAAATTTACCAAGTGACATACTAACAGAGTGTGTTATCTGGACTGTGTTGGTCAGTCTGTGCTCTGTGTGTGTGTGAGTGAGAGAGAGACGGTCCTCACCCTGCTATGTTGCTGATGGAGATGCTCTTGGCCAGGTTGCTGTGTGAGCTGAAGATGCTGGGATGTCTTCGTGGAACCACCACAGGAAGCTGGTCATCAGGGGTGGTTATTGTGGACCAGCGTTCCCGTGACGATGAGGAGGATGTGGATGACACAGATGATGCTGAAGATGTAGCTAGAAATAAACATCAAAGTGCACATTTAAGACAAGTTTACAGGTATGCGCAGCGCGAGGAGCTGGCGAACCAGCCCGCAAACGTGCCGGCAGACCAGTCGGCTCACAGAGCCCTCAACAGACACGCAGACCACACAACACAGCAGAGAGTCCAGAAACAACGGCAGAGAAAAGACCCACAGCTGTAAGATAGTTTTAACGTTCGTACCGCTGTTATTCTGTCAGTACATTCTGTGATTTTGTAAGGTTTTAACTTAAATCAAGAAACATCTGGATAATGTACAGAAAAATGGTGATGAACAGAAAAATCTGGTTTTGTGAAACTTCAGAAAAAATAAATAGAAATAGTACGAAAGGGGACTGTCTTTGCTTTATTATTATTAATAATAATAATAACAACATTATTATTATATTAGACATTACATTGTTAGTGTACAGTAGAGTTGTGGTCAGTATTTGCAGGCGGCCTCTGTGCTTGGGGTATTGCGCAATACCAGCAAGAGCGCATCGTCTCAAACCATCAGCAGCATTTTGTGTGCTTGTGACATTGCAAGTTCATTCTTCCAAGAACATTTACATTACATTACATTTATTCATTTAGCTGACGCTTTTATCCAGTTCATCTCAATCCCCTGTGTCAGCGTCCCAAAGATTTCCCAGTGTGTGCTCTACTGTGTTTTGACCTTAGCTCTCTGTCTGTTGACTTCGACTTCTGCCCGGTGATTTTGTTACTGCCGCCTGTGACTTTTGAACTTGGTTCAATAAACTGTTTATTTGTGAACTTGAGTCGTGCCTTTTGAGTCCATTACCTGTGTGTAGCCTTGTTAGCGCTGACAAGATTTGTGGTGAAGGGGGTACATCCCTTTTCTATTAGGTTTAAGTATGCAAAATGTATTATCACAACACATCAGAAACAGCTGACAGATCACTGATCATTCCTTATAAGAGAGTAGTATTTATTTTTAGAAATTAGGGGAAAAAGAAAACTTTCTGTCACAGTAAGTTAACTGATCATAGCTTCGAATATTGAAATCGGAACCGAGATTAGATAAGTGTAATCGGAATCGATTAAACTGAAACAATACCCAACTCTAAATATATGTAATTTTAAATGAAATCAATTATCAATTAATCACCTTTTTATTGTCTATTTGATTCTGAACTGTAGACACAGCGACAAAACTGCAGCTAACCAAAACGAGTGCACTGTCACCAAAAAGCGGTAACACATCTCCTTCCTTAACACATTCAACAAGAGCTTGTATGTGCTCTTACATTTACTCCTCATGTTAGCAGCTGACCCAGGAGCCGCTTCTGGCACCAGCGATTGCTGTTGGAAACAAACACATCATTAGATGAAAGGTAACTGTGAGACTCACATTGATCAAACATGTAGGTGTGCTCTACTGCTGCTGTACGGGGCTCTGAATAAAAGATACCAACTCAATGTGAATAAGGGACACTTGTTTTTGTTTTTGCAAATTTTCACCAAAAAGACTACATCTTAAAAATGTAGACTGATTTAAACTGGATTTTATGTCCCAACACATCCAAAAGCTGTTTCTGTGGCAGAAATACACTAATATAATTACAGTTAACCCCTAACCCCATTAATATTACTAATGTTATTTGAGTCCCTCTAAGTCATAATATAATGTGATACATGGAGTGTTTGGCCTGCTGGTTGTATTTTAAAGTTCTGTATGTTATTTTTGAGCCCTCTGTTGAACTGAAAGTGATAAATTCAAAGATATTTTTAGGGAATAAGGAGCCAGTAGCCAGACGTACCTTTATTTTGCTCTTTGTACAGATAGACAGACTCTCTCTGCAGCATTTATGGACATGGACTCCACAGTCTGTAAAAAACACATGACAATCATTAGAAACAAGTGTTATCGTGTTAATTTCAAGTGTGCAGTATTAGTTTTGAGTATCCTCAAGTAATAGCATTGCAATATAACTTCCTGTTAGTTTGGCTTTTCTCATCTACATTCATTCATTACATCAGTTTTTGTGAGGACGTACATGCCGACTAAAACCTTCCGCACATACAACAACCAACAACCCTGGTTCATAGCAAAACTCAGGCTGCTTCGTCAGACCAAAGAGGAGGCCTTCAGAAGTGGGGACAGAGTCCTGTATAACCAGGCCAGGAACACAATGACAAAAGAGTTCAAAGCAGCTACACTGAAAAGCTAGTATATAGCTTCACAGCCAGTGACCCTGCGTCAGTGTTGAGAGGCCTGCAGACAGTCACTAACTACAGGAGACCATCCCCCAAATCTGTTTGCACTCAACGACTGGCTGACGAGCTGAATCTTTTCTATTGTAGGTTTAAGAACGCCACAGCCTCTCCCCCACTCCAACACCATCTTCAAACAGTCACCTTCCCCCACCTGAAGGACATTACATGCCCCTTGCTGGACCCACTGCAGTTTGCCTACAGGGCTAACAGGTCAGTGGACCAGAAAGTCAACTTGGGACTGCATTACATCCTGCAATACCTCGACTCTCCAGGGACATATCCAAGGATCCTGTTCGTGGACTTCAGCTCAGCGTTCAACACCATCATCCCGGACATCGTCAGCACCAAACTCTTGCAGCTCACTGTGCCAGCCTTCACCTGTCAGTGGAACACAGACTTCCTGACTGACAGGAGTCAGCAGGTGAGGCTGGAGAACATCCCATCCATTCTCATTTGAATGCTTAGCATTTAAATGTAATCCCCCTTCCCCCTGAGAGTGCTCCTCAACTACCGGCCCCCCAAACCCAACTCAGCTTTCATCTCAGAGATACACAACCTTCTCACAACACTCATTTTCAACACATTATTATACTAGGAGATATTAATATTTATGTAGACAACCCCTCCTGCTACTTTGCAGCTGAGTTTCTGCAACTACTAGACTACCTCAACCTCCAACAACATGTCTATGTCCCCCCACACTCCAGGGTGCACACACTGGACCTGGTCATTTCAAACTCCACCCCCATTAGCAACCTTCTGGCATATGATGTGGGTGTGTCTAACCACAAAGCCATCTCAATGGAGCTGTCACTCCTTTACTCACACACCAAAGACAAGCGTCCAATCTGCTATAGGGACCTTAAAAAGATGAACCTGGACACCTTGACCATAGTCCTCCAACATCTCTCCTCTGCTGATTTCTCCTCAGTCACATTCAGAAGCTGCAGTACATCGAGAACAGCGCTGCTAGGATCCTATTGAGGGTGCTCAAAATTGTCCACTTCACCCCCATCCTCAAATCAATGCACTGGCTTCCTGTCTCAATCAGGATTGAGTACTCAAGGTACTCCTCACTCTAAAGACCTCAACACGTACCCTCTGATCTGCCTCAGCATCTCTTCTGAAACCTCCCAGAACCAAGCTCCGTACAATGGGAGATCGGGCTTTCTGCTCAGCTGCTCCCAGTCTATGGAATGCTCTCCCTGACCACCTGAGGACACCACAGAGTGGATGCTTTTAAACGTGGCCTTAAAACCCACCTTTTTAGGGGAGCTTTTGATTGAACTCTTACTTTTTTTTGCTCTCTATGTATTTTATTTTTAGCACCTGTTTTATAATGTAGAACTTTGGGATTTGCTTAAATATAAAGTGCATTACAAATTAAATGTATTATTATTATTACTTGTGAATTGTCTAGTCCATTTACATACTACTTTCTCTTTCATGGCGTAACATCAATTCAACGGCACGCTATGGACACACCATTTGATCAATAAAAAAAAGCTTCGCAATTTAACATCGCAAGGCTCTTAAGATTATTTAAGTTTATTAAAGTACAGAGGGTGTAAAAAGTGACAAATTTAATATTCAATTCAAAATGGCCGCCTTCCTGTTGGGTTTAGGGTATGGAAAAATGACATCAAATCTAAACATTACCAGCTCCAGTCTGGTTGCAAAGTTTTGTGGCTCTTTTAGTATCTTAAAGGCCTCAAATATCTGTTTAAATAACTGAAAATGATGCAGGAAGCGCAGAATGGCTGACTTCCTGCTGAGCAATATCTCATTAAAAAAGCAGAAATGTGGACTTTGTAATAAGAGCAATAATCCCACCAAATATCATGAAGATCAAAGAAACGTTTTCCAAAACATGGTGTTTGTTTAGCGGCGCTTTTGAGCCCCCCTGGTCGCGTAATAAGTAAGTGATTAAGTAATATTCATATTGGTTTAAATAAACAATTTGATAGTAGTTCCCATCTTTGCTGAGTTTGTCCAAAAGGCCTGTCCTAATTGTAGGCAGGTTGAGTTCAGTGGCTGAAGCAAATAAAAGCCCAGATCATTGAAATTTGTGTGATGACTTTAGCTGAGGTGCGGTGACATTTTGATGAACAGAGCTCAGACATGCAGTTGATGGTGATGACTGATTGAAGGACTAAAATCAATGTTGGAACACAGCTAAGAAGATGGACTTCTACATTTGTGCTGCAATAGAATGTACGAATGTACATATGTTACTGGTAATAATATTGAACATTTTCCTTCAAGTAGACTGATAAAGGAGCAAATGTCATCAGGTTCTACTTTCTTTGGAAATGAATGTGTTCTTTTGACACACTCTGTGAAGTCCTATATAAAACATTGAGCTTCATAATCATATCATGTGTTAATATGAGCATAATGGTAATATGTGGACTACTGTGAGAAACTAAGTGTTAGACGGAAATGACACATACATCAAAGTGAATCTACTGAAGGAAATTAATACAGGAAAAGGTGGCAGCTGAGGAAGAGGAGGAAGAAAAAGAGGAAGAAGGCAGGAAGAAGGGAGTGGGAAAGTTAAGATGAGACTTGCTTGGCTCTCAGAAAAAAAGAGAAGAGAAGAAAACAGGAAGGAAAGAAGGAGAAAGAAAAAGAAGTGAGCCTTACTGTTGCAGATGAAGCTTTCCTTATTGTACAGAAGTTTGGTGCAGTGCTGACAGGCTGTGGAAGGGGACGGATTGACTGGGAAGAAGAGATGGCCGTTTGCACTCTTCTTTTCTCTCTCTTTACTCTCCCGTTCCCTCTCTCCTCTCCTCTCCTTCTCCTGGAAGCAACACATGAAAGATACAGATAATCAATCGAGTAAATATTCAGGATAAAATAACCTGTTGTGGACATCTGTTTTTGTCTCATCAAATATTTTCAATTCATGGTGCTTTTTATTGTACTCTCTCATCATGCGGAGTTTGCAACACTCTATGGTCAAATGTCACATCACATCAAGGACTTCCACAACCTAGTTTCTAGTAAGACTGTTACACTATCCACCCTCACTTGCGCCATATCAGCCATTGAGTGCTCCTGCCCTAAATTGCATATTGGTAAAAACTAAACATAGCCTCCGTATTCAGATAATTAAACATAGAAGCACAATCAGCACACAGGATGAATCATACCCACTCCCATTCTATTCTATAAGGGACAGCCTTCCATGAGTATCAATAAATCACAAGCCCATGACTAGCAAAACAAACTCCACATTTCACTTCTGGAACAGTCAAAAATATCTAAGTAACAAATGTAATGTAACTGCTCATTCATAACTTTGTCACTGTTGCTGAGTTTAAAGGTATAATGTGTAAGGTGAATACAAAGATGAGGCGGGTTAACCCTAAGCAGCAGTGAGAGGGTGGTCGGGCATCACAGAGGCAGTAACAGCGTGTGGAGCCAAATGATTTCACATCTAACTCGCTGAATTGGTTTCACTGCTCCCTCAGAAGCTCTGACCCCCAAAGTCACGGATGCGCAATGCCAAGGCGACCAGTACTACTTTGCTGAAATATGGCAGAATGTTCAAAGTGTTCAAGTGTTTACAACTTGCTCTCTTCCACTGCTCCTGTGCATGAGTGCTACCACCACCTGTTGCTAGAATCAAACAGAATAGAAAACTTTGTCATTTTCACATGTACAACAAAATGTCAAAGTGCTGACAAGCCAGTGCATCATTCCTAAAATATAACTTAAAAAAGTATCAAAAAGCAGCATGAACAGGCATTCATATACACATACACAGTCACACTTATGCACCAATCCCTCACTCAGTTCAATTTGGCAGTGCTGATTACAGTTATTGCTGATGGGTAAAAGCTGTTATGATGGATCTGTACCGTCTGCCTGACGGTAACAGTTCGAACAGGGGGTAGCCTGGATGAGAGGTGTCCTTTAGAATGTTCTGGATTTTTCTGAGACAGCGGGAACTGTGTGGTTCTTCCAGTGTGAGGAGAGGGCAGCCAACAATCTTCTGTGCGGTGTCGATGACCCTCTGGAGCGCTTTCCTGTAAGCCACTGTGCAGCTGGTGTACCACACTCACATGCAGTATGTCAACATGCTCTCTATGACTCATTGATTGACTCATTGTGGTCATTAAAGATCCCGTGCCATGGCAAAATTCCCAACCTGGCTTTCACCATCTGGCCATCTAATCATCCCCTGCAGTAACTGGCTCAATGTTTCCCTCCCTCTCTGCCTCTAGCTGAAGTGTGGTGAGCATTCTGGCGCTAAATGGCTGCCGTGCATCACTCAGGTGGGTGCTGCACATTGGTGGTGGTTGAGGTGAGGCCCCCTCACTTCACTGTGAAGCGCTTTGAGTATCTATGATAAAGCGCTATATAAATGTAATTCATTATTATTATTACGGAGGCTTGGTAGAAGGACACCAGAAGCCTCTGTGTGATATTGTTCCTCATGAGTACTCTCAGGAAATAAAATCTCTACTGGGCCTTTTTCAGCAGCTCAGAGGTGTTCCTGCTCAAGGTTAGACCCTCCTCAATGTGGACTCCCAGGAAGTGTAAGTCTGCCTCTGTCTCAGTTATGACGCATTGAGATAAGAATGTGTTGGTCATTTGTATGCTTGCAGTTTTTTCATTTAAACCTTCATTTGAGCCTCATACACTTTCTATACTGAACAACCTTTTAAATGCAATTAGAAAGTGGGTGTCAAATCATTTTCTGCAGTTAAATGCAGATAAAACTGAAGTCTTGAATTGAATTTTTGCTCCTTGACAGCCTTCACTCAGCTATCAGGCAGAATCTGCTTCTTCTCACTCTATTCTGTGTAACCTTGGTGTGGTTTTGACGAGTCCATGAGAGTCCACCTAAGAAACACAGCCAAACATAAGAAATGAAATGGAGAAGCTATTAAATGCTTTTATTTCATCTAATTTGGAATACTGTGATCCTCACTTTACTGGCCTTAATAAATCTTTCTTACACCGTTAAGAAACTGTCCAAAATACTGCCTCTAGGCTCCTAACATGTTCGAACACATGGTCACATTTTCATCCAACTTCTCTGCACTGCTTCCTGCTCTTTTTAGAATTCATTTAAAATGTTGGTGCTCACTTAGAGTGTATGGCCAGTAGTTATTCTGCTTTTCAGCATGGATCGACACACTGACTGACAATGCTTCCTTGGTGGGCAAAAACACTTTTTTAAAAATAAATAAATTTAGTAATTAAATCATCAATTCGCCAAACACAATAAAAGGCTCGTGACGCATGTATTGATCATTGCAGTACTTTTTTTTTTTTAGAGACTGCAGCAGTTAACCATTGAACTTACAATGCAAACCTTCAAAAGTTGAACTACCTAGTGAGTTCAGAAAACATGTGTCTTCCAGCTATCGTTGTACTTTAATTTGACCAAGTTAGCATAGCACAACCCTGATCGATACAAACTCCATTCAGAAAACAAACAAGTTGTTGTCATGCTGTCTTGCTGACAGAACTGATAAACCATGAATTCATATGTTTAACAAATCTGCATCATATTGCAGTTATTTCGGCATCAGTTTAATCCGTTTATTGCTAAATCACAGCAAAATGTTTACTTTGGGTTCATACTGCTGTAGTAATGGTGAGTTGTGTTTATTCGCATTATAGTGTTGTGTGTGAACACTCAGTTGTCCAGCAATAAAACCCCCGCGAGGAAAGCGTTGGATCAAATTCGCGTTGAGTCTGAATGCCGCATAACAGCAGGATGAAAAGCTAGTACACCACTGTCCCTCCTCAAAAGTTATTCCCCACTGTTTGTCATCATGACTCTTTGACACTCATCAATACAAGCGCCATGGCATCGAAAATAATGAGCCTGAAGCTCCGTGTGGAGCTAGTACGTGTTCACGTTGAGTGGTGCGACGTAGAACAAGGACGCACTGACTATGGTTCTGTGTTCACCACAAAGCGTTTTGCCCATTGCCCACTGTATATTTAGTTTTTATTTTTGTACATGCTGCACTGTCACAATATTACTACTAGCACTTTTAGATAGTCGCTCTCCATTGTACACAAACTTTTTTCACAAGAGGAAAACTGAGGGAGCTCTTATTGTTCAACTTCAACAGGGCTAACATGAGGAACATCATCGTCAGCAAGACTAAGGAGATGATCACGCCCTCATTCACATCGATGGAGGTGAAGTGGAGCGAGTCTCCAACTTCAAGTTTCTCTGTGTGTTCATCAAGGACGACCTCACCTGGTCGAAGCAAGCATACTCAGCGGTAAAATCTGAACAAAAGCGCCTATAGTTCCTGATGAGACTCAAGTTTTAGACTGAAGTTTGGAATGTCTGCTAAAACTCTACAAATGCACCATTGAGAGCATCCTCTCAGGCTGCATTACTGCCTTGTATGTTTTTCCCCCCCAGGGCCTTTAACCACTAAACTGATCACTTGACGGACACTTGATAAGCTGTGGTCACTTCCATGTACATAAATGTATATTTGCACATTTTAAAGAGTTAAAGGGGTTTGGTCATAAAAAGAGAAAAAATATCTATAAAAACACATTATAATTTACCAGAAAGAAAAACATAATGTTCTGTAGCAACGCAAGACAAAGAAACAAATTAGGTGGGAAGAATACAGCCAACCTGAAACAACACTTTGCTTTCTACGTGCCAAATTTGCTAGCAAACCAAGTTAGCTTAGTCTGGCTGGAAGCCAGTTTTTACAAGGTCAATTTATTTGTCATATTAAAACAGGGTTCTGAAATTAGATAATTAATTTGAAGTTCCCTTTATGCTACAAAGCAAATGATATATACAAAAATGAAAAATGAATAATTATATACAGAAATGAACAATTTTGCATGCTGAGGATGAATTTAAGAGCAAATTAATGAATAATCCTGGCTTGGCTAAGGTTTACTGTCTTTATGTGTTAGCTAATGTCAGTTTGCTAGCTTCAAAGGTTTTGAGTGAAACATGTAGGGCCTTACAATTAATGTTGTACAATTAACGTACAATTATTTGATCGGGACAAGTAAATCTTTTGGTCGGAGTGTTTTTCTCAAGGTGTGTGAGGGCTGAGTGGAGGGCAGTGGAGATGGCATCCTCTGTGGGTCTGTTGGTTCTGAAAGCTAACTGGTGAGGGTCCAGGCTGGCTGGGGTGTTGGTCTTTATGTGCTGAAGAACCAGTTTCTCAAAGCACTTGAGTGAGTGCCACATGGCACTATTCATTCAGAGTAGACACTGCAGACTTTTATTAGACAGTATGTCTATACTCTCCTGCCGCAGTCTGATCTGGTGTAACCACTGTAGAACGTTTGTTTTTACGAGTCCTACATGGCTCAAACAGAGTCTGGTGTTGTGATGACTGATGGGTGTGAATGATCAGGAAAGTGATCTCATGTTGTTAATGTTGTAATGTTGCTCCAGGTGTGAGGAGATGTGAACTCTCGTATTGTGTCACTGTGGGGAGGTACTGTTTTTTCATGAGATGACAGGCCCCTTATTGCACCTTGTTACCATGTAGGCAACAAACCTCAGATCACAAACTCTGCAAGAACACCTTATGGGAGCATTCCTAATCCTCACCATTATGACTACTGTAGCCACTCAAAACACAATCACATCTTCTTACCTTCTCTGATCCAGATTCTCCTCTCCACCTCACAGAGCGAGTGAACCTCTTGCACAGCATGGCTGTAACTGTCCTCCTGTCTCCTTCTTTTTCCTGTCTGTCTGTCTGTCTGTGTACTTGCTTCTAATCCCTGTCTGGCTGGATTTCTTTCTCTGTCTGAGCCTCATGTTGTTGTGTTTTTGAT